TTCTGAGGGCTGAAGCCACGTTTATCGGAAGGGTCGATCATGTGATCATGTGATGCAGAGTTTTAGTGAAAGTATCCCCAGCCTAACTATCCGAGAGGGAACACTCACCATACAGCATTTCATTCGGTAGACCCTTATGCTTTTCCTTCGCTCATCAAAAGCCGCATATTGAGGAAACTTACATGAAACCCGACTCATATCGACTCATATCACTTTGAGAACACGTGTATACTGCTTGGAGGCAGGGATGATCCCAGGCCAAATCGCTCTGACCACGCAGACAGCCTCGAAGGCCAGCGTTTTGCACGGCTGTCGCTTCTGGCGCTTGCGGGCCTGCCATGGCGACAGTAAGAGTCCAAAGTAGGGGCTTGCAAAGCCCTACCCCCGACTGCAGTTCGGGTTCCTATAGGGTTTAGGGGTTTAGAGTTTATGTTATATAGGAGTTTCCGAAAATAAGGGGTACCTTATTTTGGGGTCCTTATTATAAGGATCCTACTGCTCAAAGTACTACATTAGGGTCCCCTATTTTCGGAAACCTGCATGTTGACCCGGAGGGGGCAGAGTATCCAAAAAGTAGGTGCTTGGATTTAGGATGGTGAGAAATTAGAACAAGGATCTTAATTCCCTGAAACAGTAAATTAGAGCCGTCGATGATTTAAGGTGCATTTGCTTTATTGAGGGTTGTCGAGGCTCTGCGCGCCAAAGCACACTGTTGCAGAATCGGGCTTCTTGAGCGATATATGCTCAACGATACCTCGATGCAAACCCAAAGTCCCCAAGTCCCTGCAAACATGAAATGGACATTCAATATGATGTCAAGCAAACTTCATAGTCCGGGAAGTTCTGCTTGCTGGGTACTGCCTCGACCTTAGTATACTAGTTCACTACACGCAGACAAGTACAGCAGTGAACAATTTAAATCATTGGGCACAGCAACACAGGCTCCGGGCTCTGCACATCAGAGACCTCCATAGCCAAAAACCTTTAGGGGTTTAGGGTTTAGGGGTTTAGGGGTTTAGGGGTTTAGGGAATACGGTTTTAGGGTTTAGGGGTTTAGGGTTTAGGGGTTTAGGGTATATGGTTTTAGGGTTTAGGGGTTTATGGTTTAGGGGTTTAGGGGTTTAGGGTTTAGGGTTTAGGCTGAAGACTACTGCCCTGTTCAGCCTCTGCAGGCTTTGGCGGAGACCTAGGTGGCAGAATGCTGGCATCCTTTTTTTTCCGTAGGTCGGCTGAGGTTTCATGGCCCTGACCTGTCCTCTTGCAAACACATACCCCAAGGGTCCCAGTGCATAACTAATCAGATGCTCTCCCAAATGCTCTCCCAAACCCATTTCTACTGCTGCACAAAATCCAAGGGCTGGGTCCTTTAAACCCGTAGACACGCTACGTGCCGGGAACTTATGAGGGGCAAGGGTTCGGGCTTAGGGTTCGTGATTTAGGGTTGAAAGCTATCCCCTCGGGGTTCATTACCAAAAAAAAGCCTGATACTTAGGGCTCTGTTTCAGGGCCCCCTTTTTCTGACATCCACCCTTTGCACAGCTGACATTGGAACGCGGATACATTTCTCAACCTGTTAAGGTGGAAGCCAGAAAGTTGGAACAGCCTAAACCCTAAACCCTAAACCCCTAACCCCTAAACCCTAAACCTTTAAACCCTCCGGCCGTAAGGCAGAGCATAGGGAATTCCAGCGCTAATCATCCGAAACCCATGCTCCCAAATCCTAAATTCTGGATTTCACCCTATGCGTAGTTCTCTAATTTAGGGTCCCTTTGTAAGTCCCCAATATAGCACGGCACCCTTAAACAAAGCAACTAAATCGGACCCTAGTTTAGAGAACTACCCATACGTCTTGGCACCAACCGTCCCGAGGTCGCGGCTCCACCAAATCAACTTGCATCGCCACAGCTGCCATGGCCCAAGAGCAGCAGACAAAAAAATGTCTAAGCCGTTCTCCGGTTCATGGGTAGTTAGAAGGAGGGCTCCTTTTCGGGTTCTGTAGGGTCTAGGGTTCAGGGCCCCTTTCTGTTTTTGTGGATGTACGGTTGGCTTAGACATGCTCGACCCTAAATTTCCCGACGCTAAGCATTAGACTCTAGAGGCATAAACTGCATACACCCTAGAAGCCCTAGGTTGCGACCCGGTTTCCCCCGATATCTGCCGAACATCCCCACCTGGACAAAACCTCCTGTGGTCCAGAACAGCGGAGGACCAAAATGCCAAGGGTCTAGAGCTTAGGGTCTCGGGGGCGCTTGAGGTTCAGGAAATTCTGCGGGTTTTAGATGGCTTCAGGCTATTGTGGGAACCCTAAACCCTTTTGCAACGGCCTTGTCAGATCTCGACCGGGCTGATAGCCCACAGCAGACCCAAAACCGTGGTACAAGATTTAAGAAACCCTGGCCCTAGAACCCCAGCAGAGTAGGATTCATAAACAGAACCCTAATAAAGGCCCAAGGTTTCAAAACCAGGTTCCTAGATTATCAGAGTTTAAGGATGGGTTTTGGGCTCCCCTAAACCCTAAGTTTAAACCCCTAAGCCCTAAACCGATTAAGGTCTTCAGGGCTTTAAAGGGTAAGGTCTGGCATCTTCGGGCGCAGGGGCCTTAATTATTAGAATGGGGTTTTGGGATTTCCTTATTATAGTTTCAGTAAAATATACCCCCGAGCCCGATTCTAATTCTCAAGGTCCCTATATTAGGCTTTTTGGTCGTCAGGGTTGCAGAGCTTGCGGCTTATAAAATGTGGTCTCTAGGGCCGCTACGAGTTTTAAAGGGCTCAGCGTCCGGAAATGATTAGCATGTAGGGTTAAACCTTCGGGGTTTACCTGATGTTAAACTCAGATTGGTTTAGGGGTTGGGGGTTCTCGAATTTCTGGCACTCCTGAGCTGCGGCTCGGAGGCTACTTAGCCGCAGTTCTCCTCTCGAAAAGTTCTGCTTTGGTTTTGTAGAGCGAATATCAGTAGAATATGGGTATTTGTTTCTCAAAATCAAAGGTCCCCTTAGGTGGGCCCTTGCCAGAAGGATTCTGCTACACTTGGGGTTTAGATTGGGGTTCGATATTTCTCGACGCCCTCATCAAGTAGCGCAAGATCTTGTAGTTGGACGCTTCCCCCCTACAGTATGTGGCCTGCAGCACACAGACTCTGACATTGTTGGTGCGGCTCTATGCATAGTCAGGGTATACCACGGTTGGGCAGTGGCCTCGCTTGGGACTGGGGGCAGACGCTTTCGAAGCTCCATGTCGGTTTGCAAAAATGGGGCGGATAGAGTTTCGTGCTAGCTAGATACTGATCCCCTGGCTGTAGGTTCCGCGTTCGGATGCTTGCTTGTGGTTTGTGGGTCTTGAAAGTCTTACTGCTTACAGCTCAGAGTGTATGATGATGGATTGCCTTATTTAGTGGGGATCAGCTCTTTTCAGCTATAAGCACAAGATGCACTGGCTTTCGGCGACAGAGAATGATAATTGAGCTTCTGTGCGCCCTTATCCTGTGGAATGAACTAAATAAACCACCCTGGAGCTTTCTTCTTACTCCCGGATTCGCCGGTCATGCCCCAGAACTCATTGCAAAAACATTCTAGCTCCTTCATAGTGTAGGAGAAGACCCTTGGCAGATGAGATTTAGTATCAATGGCTGGTGCCATGTAGCGGTCGATACATCCAGCTAACCTTTCGCAACCCTCAACTGTTAACCCTGCTTGCTAAGTCTGTGGGTCTTACAAACACAAGATTTCGTTTCGAACCTCTCGAAAAACTTCTGGAGGCCGGCGCCGAGCACCACTTTTCTTGCTGCCCGTATACTAAAAAGTTCAGTCTGGCAAGACGCTTGAGGTCCAACCAATGAAATGCACGCAGAAGATAATATCAGCCCTATGGCGTGTCGAGCATGACGTGGATTGCACCCATTGTCCCTATGTTGCAGTGCACGTGTTGTCCTTGTGTTGCAAGAGCTTGTTCTGCTGATCTGGACCCTGGATAAAATCTAGGATCACGGGGGGTTGAAAGTTGAAACATAACCCCTCGATGCAAAATAGAGTCCTAAACCTTAATCCGCAACACTTGATTACAGTTGAGGGTTTAATATAGGGCCACTAATAATTAGAATAGGGTTTTGGGCCCCATTATTCTATGAAGGTACACCCCAAAACGGGTATAGGCAATTCCGTAGGCCCCTATAGTAGGCCTTAGCAGTTGACTGAAGCCAAGGGTTCAAAGGTCGGGCCCCCTTGTAGTGGACCCTCTGCTCTGGGGGCATCCTAGGAAGGAGCGCGTGTAGAAGCCTAACATAGGGGCCTTAATAATTAGAACAGGGTTTGGGGTATAGTATACTACAATTATAATTGAGGAACCCCCCAAACCCGTATGCTTATTATTAAGACCCCTACATTAAACTGGTTAGTATATAATTCTTTGGGGCTTATCAGGATCATAGAACTATCAGTTAACCACTATGAGTGATACTATTCTTGTAAGGGGATATCATTATCATTGATCATTGTCCAAAAATTCTGTAGTCAGTACAGCGCCGATAAGAATTTTCCAAGCATTTCAAGCAATGAGCCTGGGGTCGCCAAGTTTAGATAGGCTCGGAAATCATCCGACAATCTACAGGGTTTAGGGTTTACAGGGTTTAGAGGGTAGCGTGTAGCGAATTGAAGAGTTTAGGGTTTAGGGTTTAGTGGACCAGCGGTTTTACAATTTCGGGAAATGAAAAAGGGGAAGGTTTCAGAAAATCGTGGAGTGCCCCATGCGCAAACGGGGGAGGGTCCGAGAGTTGTTCGAAGGCAGGGTGGATGGCCAGTTGAAGAGAGCGGCTGGTTTTAATGGGCATGCTAAGATGGACCATAACGTAGAGCGCCGAACCCTAGAATAGAAGTGCTAACTACCCATAGGCCCTAAAGTAGTTCCTATTTGGGTTCATAGATAGAATCCTATAAGGTAACCCCACAAAGGATCTACTATGGGGCCGATGGGTAAGCCTCTAAGTCCTATGCCCGGCATGAGCCTCAGAAAGGCTTGATCTTTTCCCACACTTCCGGCCACTCCTTGCAGTCGGGGTCCTGGCTAGGGTTTAGGGGGGCTTGCGAGTTTAGGGTTTAGGGTTTAGGGGTTTAGGGGTTTAGGGTTTAGGGGTTTAGGGGTTTAGGGTTTAGGGTTTAGGGCTTGCGAGTCATAGTCCCGAAAAGCTCTGTGCAGTTTCTTTGAGCGTAGGATTTCGAGATTCAAGGATCACGGCAAGGGCTTATTCCGCCACCCAAGGCCCTGAACCCTAGACTCACCCTTAACCCTAAAACCCTAAACCCTAAACCCTAAAACCTTAACCCCAAAACCCTCAACCTGGAAGGAACTGCGGGGGTGCTGGCGTTTAGGGCTCAAGGATGCCAGGTTCTCGAGGCTGACTTCGTCGGGTGAGGTGAGTTGAGCACCGGACTTGGTTCCCCAGGGTTTAGGGTTTAGAGTTTAGGGCACCTTCCTTCCGAGCATTCGATCTTTCGGAATCGAGGATAACGTCAACCAAAACATGGGTAGTTCAACAATACAGCGGGTGGACTTCGGGATATATCCTGCATTACCTTAAAGACCCTAAACTACGGGACTTAATGGCACTCTCCTTTATGATGGGTAATGCAGGATCTATGTCATCAACCGTACCACACCGGCACAGTGTTTGCTCCCACCATCAGGACATTGAGGACATGACTCCCTGCATGGATGCCTTCAAGGGAACAAGGGCTCTAGAGGGATTTGAGGGTTTGGGGTTATCTTTTCACTTTTCGGCTTGCTACAGGCTTTAGGAATTAGCTTGTCTAAGTGGCCGAACTATGCATACCATACCCTCTACCCTAGACTCAAGACCCTATACGGGAAGCCTGAGATTATAAAATCACCGACCCAACCCTAAACCCTAAGCCCTAAACCCTAAACCCTAAACCCTAAACCCGAAACCACACCCAGGCACTGGGGACTCCTTCAATTCAGGAACAGACCCGATCGTTGCAGCATGGATCCGGTGAGGGCATACTGGAATCTCTTGGGTAACACATGGGAGTTTCAGAAAATTAGGGTACCTTATTTTGGGGTCCTTATAATAGGGATCCTATTATTTAGGGTACTATGGTCCGCTATTTTCGGAAACCCCCACATCCATGCAAAGCCTCAACCCTTTTACTCTTTGCTTAAAACCTTAGCCCTAAACCCCAACCCTCCCTGAACACTAAATGCTAAGCCCTATAAACCCCTAAACCCTAAACCCTAAACTTTAAACCCTAAACCCCAACCCTCCCTAAGCCCTAAACCCAACCCTCCCTAAACCCTAAATCCTAAACCCTAACCCTACCCACCCTATCATCTCTGGGTCCTGCAGTGCCTTGTAGCCTTTCCTTGCATATGCGGGCTCGGAAGCTGTGCGGCGGCTTTGACTTGGTTGGGCTTGGGGTTTGGGGTTTAGGGTTGTTGGGCTTAGGGTTTGGGGTTTACGGTTGTTGGGTTTAGGGTTGTTGGGTTTTGGGGGTTTTGGGGTTTAGGGCTTGGGGTGTAGGGTTGCTGGGTTTAGGGGGTAGTGTTAGGGAGCTGGGTTTGACGGGTTTATGTTTGACACTTCGCGTCAAAATAGCCAATAGCCCGAAAGCCTCGAGTCTGACAACTTGATTGATTTGGTGGTGCCGTTGGGGGCTGTTTCTACAACACCACCAATCAAGGGCCCCCGAGTTTTCACTTTTGATACTTGGAGGTTCATGGGTAGTTATAAGTGGTGTTATAAGTCCTCTAATACAGGTTATAACTATAGTTACCCTACTTATAACCCCACTTATAACTACCCATGAACCTCCAAGAAAGGTTCAGCAAGCTGCCCAGAAAAGACTGCAGAAAAGGGCCTCAAGGCCTCCGTTTCGACCCAAACCCTACCCTAAGGCTCTTATTGCTGTTATGGGCTTTCTAGGGCGAGGTTTAGGCTTTGGGGGGCTTTCACTATGGGGGTCCATGAGCCTTAGGGTAAACCCTAAACCTCAAACCCGACTCAGTTCCATTGTTGGTCAGCCAGCCTGATGAGTACATAAGAACCCATGAGTCAAGAAACCAGGCTCGAGAACAGAGGTAAAGAGATGCCCAAACAAAGGAAGTACAATGCAGGGGCCTTAATCCGTAATGATTAGAATAGAGTTTTGGAGCTTTCAAAGTATAAATCTGATAAGGAACCCCCAATATAATATAGGTAATTATTGAGGCCCCTATATAACACCGGAGGGCCTGGGTATGCAACAAACTCTTCCTGGCATCGGGCCGCGGCTGTTTGCCATATCCTGCTGTTCCGAAGGATCCTATGTACCTATCTGGTAGAATGTAGGGTTTCTATATTAGGAATTCTTGTTATGGTTTAAGGCAGTTTCCCCCATTACAGTACATCGGACCCTATGGGTGTTCTGGCCCCTTGTTTTCTGAAGCAAAACCGTCTGTTAACCACTCACAAGATGGCGACGAGGCTGAATGATCAGTTCTGTCTAGCGCAGCCTCCAAAGCCAACCCACCTTAGTAACATCAGCTTTGCCAGGATGCTGCTTCGCCCATTCGGCTTTGGCAGGATCGTTGAAGAAGTCTTTCTCGAACTGCTTGCCTCAGACATGAAATTGACTCCTGTTAAGGAACGAATCTAACTTCTTAGAAAACTGCATACCATAGTTTTTTGCTCGGAGTGCTGCAAGGGTCATCACCTATGCTGTTGTCCGGTCTACAGGTAGGCCCTCAAACCTATATCGGATACCTATAGCCGTTGAGCGGCCGGGCTCTGCCCACTCCAGTTCTGGATTTTGAGCTAGCATAAAGTTTCGTGGTTTTATGATGCCAGACCGTGAGAGACCGTGGAGCCTTTGGCTTACTCCGCCGACCAAGAGAGGCATCCGTGAACATGGTACTTACAGAACCCAAGGACTCAATAAGCACCAGGGCTGTACGTAAGGTACGAAAGGCAACCATAACCCCACGTCAGCACTCATTTACGGATAACCCCAGTTCAGGACTTATATTCCCAAAACCCTAAACCCAAAGCCCCTAAACTCAGGACTCATTATTAACGTACAACCCTACCTCCTAAGTTCCCTGAAACTTTAGGTACTGACGCCCTCAGTCGCAGAATCCCAAGTTTCAGTTGCTCACATGAAGTAGCGGGCCCCACTTCCAGCCCAAACTCAACACCCTAAGTCCAAAATGGTAAAAATCAACAACTAACCAAAAAACGAAACCCTAAACCCCTGAGACCTAGTGCATACGTTAAACCCTAAAACCCTTAACCGTCATAGTCCACAGGCCAAAGCCGGACACACCCTCCGGAACGGATGAAACCCGAGCGAAGCCCCAGTGAACTTATTTCAAGGCCCGTTGAGTCAACCTTTCGTGAACCTGTTAAGAAGCATAGGGGTGAAGCTAGTAGTGACAAGCCTTCTTCCTTCGTAATCCTCCTTGCTAGAATGCAGCCGGATCGAATCAAAACAGAAAGGCGGGGTTGAGGGTTCGTTTCAGGGTACAAGGCCCTGAACATCCTCCCAACAATAATCGGGCTCCTACCTTAACCTACCAAACCCTACTTTTTTGTAGGTTCTTATTATGAACCCTAATATGGAATTTATAGGGACCCTACAAAATAGTAGGTTTTGGTAGGTTAAGGTATGCTCCCAGCCCTAAACCAGCCCTTAGAGCAACAAAACCGGGCCCAGCCACTGCGAACGCAGATTTTGATCTGCCGCACTTCCGGATCCTGCCAGTCATTTAGGGTATAGGGTTTAGGGTTTAGGGGTTTAGGGGTTTAGGGGTTCAGGGTTTAGGGGCCAATCAAAACCCTAAAGCCTAAGACCTACATAGGTTTCTCTTGTGAAGGCCTCAGTTGCTCCCTAGGTTCTGGTGTTCTGCCCCTTTAGGGTTCCGGGTTTAGGGTATAAGGGGTTTAGGGTTTTAGGTATACGGTTTAGGGTTTGAGGGTCAGACTTTGTGTCTCGGCGACTTCTATGCTCCTCATGCTGCTACGTCGCCCGACCCTCCACGCGAAGCAACTCGATCCTCGCTCCTCCGCGGGATCTTCGTCAAAATTCCCCCGTACCCTCCCAAAGGGTCCCAGGTATTGTTATGGGGGATACTTTCCCAAATCCTGAGAATAGTAATTCTTAATATGGAGGTTTCCGAAAATAGGGGACCCTAATACAGTACCCCAAGTAGTAGGATCCTTATTTATCAAGACCCCCAAATAAGGTACCCTTATTGTCGGAAACTCCCATATGGAAACCCTACATTCTACTCTTTTAAGTACTTCGGACCCTTCGGCCTGTTAGGGTTTAGGGTTTAGGGTTTAGGGTTTAGGGGAGCCTAAAGGGAGTGGCTGCAAGAAACCCCGTAGATTCCACTTCAGGAAAAATGAAGCTACAGTAGGATTCCAGATTTCTGGCCTTAACCCTAAACCCGAAACCCTAGGATTGAGTGAGGATCCTGTCCAGCAAATCCAAAACACCTCAAGGAAGCAAGGCTACATTGCAAAACTCACAGCAGGGGGATTCTTGACATATTGACTGCATACTTCCGTTCCACTCATCCCTAAACCCTAAGCCGCCCTAAGCCGTTGAGAAGTGTTTTCATCACCCGGGCCTTCGTGAAAAGATAAGCGATCACCAACGTCAGGAAACCGAGGAAGCCTCGGATGCAATCATTAGGGTTTCGGCGCTCACACTCGGACAGTCCAGGTAAGGCAAATTGTTCGAGGTCTGCTTTCGAGTGAAACACAAAGCGAGTGCAAGACCGCCATAAGAAAAAACCGACACTTAATCCTAAAACCCTGCTAGGTTGGGTGGGCCTTCGTCTCAGCAAGATCCTTGTCTTTCGCTAACGTAACCTAGTTATGGATCTGAGCGACTACAATGATTGGGTCGCACCAGGGGGATCAATCATTAGGGTGTAGGTTTAGGCAGCACGGCTTCTATAGACTTTCGGGTGTAGGGTACGTTAGGAGGAATCCTTCTGGCAAGATTTACGATGCATTGATAGGGCGCTTAACGTTTCCTGTTCAGGCCTTAAGGAAGCACTACTATTATTTCGTCTTTCGGGACTTAATGTATGGGCCGGGGTTTAAGTTTATCAAGCGGAATCACTAAGGCTTCGGGGTTTCTATAGGAATCAAGATGCATGGCATCTAGGGGCAATCATTACGGATTCAGGCTTCCACTGGAAGTAAGATGGCTTATCGGGCTTTACAGGGAATCATTGCGGATTCAGGGTTTCTATCAACTTAAGAAATGACTCATCGGGTGTGAGGGGGTTCGATTCAGGATTCAGGGTTTTGAGTCGCTTCTGCTTGCAATGTCCGGTGGTTGGCAACCCCAGTGACTCCAAAACCCCTTAATTCAGGTGAGGTTCCCTTTGCAGCTCCAGGTATATCTCCCTCTAATTCATGGAACCCTTAAGTTTGTCTCAAAGAGCCCGGTCCAAGCCTATCAAGTGGTTCCGGAATCTCGGGGCGCATCTTGGGATCTGCAAACTCAGACCTAACATCAGGGTTATTCTCCAAATTAGGGTTCCTCTTTAGATCCTTATACCAAAAGGTGCCGCATTATACAGGAGACCCCAGGAAGGTACCCAAAGTCAGAGAACTACCCATCAAGCGCACCGCCCTACGCCGCGCACAACCCCTGCATGTGACCCTGATATGCGTCTTAGGGTTTAGGACACCAAGCTAGTTTAGGGCTTAGTACATATAATACAGATAGAGTGAAACCTGAACCTGGAAAAACCAGAGCGCGAAGTCTCGTTCCTTTCCTGTCCGACCCGACAAGCCATCCCTACCTAAGCTCTCCACTGTAATTCCTTCCTGGTCAACCATAACAAAGAAACATGTAATACCAACATCGATACACAAAGGTACCATTGAAGCAATGTGGCTTGAATTGTTGGAACATCCTTCGACAACTAATTAACCAACAAGATTTACGGCATATTCCTCAAGTAAGGGCTTCGGAGTCTCTGGGTACAACTGAACGCTTTCTTTTGGGAGGGTTTAGGGTTTAGGATTTCACACCTTGAAGAGCACTCTTTTGGACAAGCTTTTGGCCATGCCGGCTGTGGCAGTGAAAGATTCACAAATTCAGGATGTAGGTTTTTCCAAAAAAGTCCTAGGTATTGTTACGTGGCATACTTCTGCAAATCATCTCATTGAGTCCAAAGAATACAGACATAATATATAGACACCATACCTACACTCTACTATAATGGTACTTTGGGCCCTTTGGGTGTGCCACCCGCCCAGCTGACATGTCCCACCGCAGGGGGGGTTCCAAGGGACCCGCGGTTTAGGGTTTCTTTCCTGTCGGGTTTAGAGTTTAGGGTACCCCTGAGGCTCCTCTTTGCAGTCAGAGACTCCAAAGACCCTGCATTACGGAATCCACGTTAGATTTCGACTATGAATTGCAGTGTATCTTCCTTGATTAAGGGGTGCTCTGGGTTCTCGCCTGCCATCAGGCCGCCAATTGCCCCCTTGCGGCCAGCAATACCCGAGCGCCACTCTGGCACGGAGTCGTCGAAAAAATCTTTCCTCTCCTGCAAACTCACAGTGTCATATCGGGCTCCCATTTGTTTTCCTAGAGGCTTTAGAGGGGCGACAGGCAGACAGACAGACCGACCGACCCACGGTAGAGTAGATTAGGCAGCTAGGTAGGCAGATAGATAGATAGATAGATAGATAGATAGATAGATAGACAGATAGGTATATACGTAGATAGATAGGCAGATTTATAGACAGATCGATAGCTAGATAGTTAGATATACAGATAGATAGACAGATAGATAGGCAGATAGACAGGCAAACAGACCGACTGGTACTTAGATAGGAATGTTAGGTTCAAGAAACGGCAACCTTGGCAACTAGGCTCTGTTGAGATCGCCGAATCGGTTGCGCTATTGTTGCAGGTATCTACATAGTAGATGCCACAAAGAACACCGACACATGAGGACATTTAGAGAGGTACTCGGCACATTGAGATCAGAGTGTCATTCTCAAACTTAGCCTCTAAGTTCCCTGCGCCTGTGGCATTTGAAACTCCGGAGATAGCTCCAAACTGCAAATCTCCACGTCTCAGCACACTAGGCTCGGAATGAAGCCCCATTATCCGTCAAGTACGGCCTATTCCTGAAATCATCGTAGGACGAAATCCATAGGGTAGGTATATTCTTAGATTTTTGTTGAGGGGGGGGGTATTGGGTTTCTGAAAAAAAGGAAACTCTGCGAACTCCAAATGAACCCGATTTTGCAGGATTAATCGGAGCCTGAGCATGGTACACCCGCTAGGATCCAGGTAACATAGGGGCCTAAATGATTACATATATAATTTTTGGGTGCTCCTCATTATAGGTAAAAGTGTTTGCCCCAAAACCCCTATTCTAATTATTAAGGCCCAACGTTATAGAACCCCTATAGTAACCCTTATAGTATCCCCTTTAAGGAACCCTATTCTAGTTATTGAGCCCCTACACTAGGTTCCCCCGTAGGCCAAGGAAATAAATGGTTAAAACTTCAGATTACTATTAGATTATAAAAACCCAAAGTTTAAAGGTTGGGTATCGCGGAACTGAATATCGGAGTCTGAGGATCAACAACCTCTATCCAGGCGGAGCCCACCTTGTTTTGTTTTTGCATCGGGTCTGCACCGGCGCAACTAATGTAGGGCCTTAACTTAGGGGTTCTAGAAATATAATGTAGGGCCTTAATATTTCTAATAGGGTTTGGGTGTATCTTATATTATCCTATACCTCTAATGAGGAACCCCCTCGTAATAGTATTGGCAATTATTTAGGCCCCTATGTTAAGACGGCCATCAGAAGCAGTACCGGCAGCAGGGAGTCGTTGAACCCGAAAATCCTGAAGCCTCATATCCCAAGCTTGACCCTGGAACCCACAATGCCTTAAGGGTTTTAGGGTTTAGAATTCTCCTCTCCAGCTCTGGTCACCACTCTCGGAGATTTGGCGACGGCCGGCGCTCGAGGGGCAACGAAAGCCACCTAGCTATGTGTAGAACTACTGTGGGTGATATCATTCTGCATTACCTTTAGGACCCTAAACTATGGGAGCTATGGCATATTCCTTATTATGGGTAATGCAGGATATACGTATCATCAACCGTTTTCCCTTTGAATCGGGCCTAGAGCTTCATGTCGAGAAGCTTCTGGGGGCGTTGAAGTTTGGAGTTCGGGTACTTACTCCAAGCCTAGTGAATGCGAGGCCAGTACCCACAGACTCCAGTATCCCTTAATTTAAGGAATATACCTTAAATTATAGTAGGATCCCAGATATGATTTAAGGTATATATTCCTTAATCTTATAAGGGATATTGGAGTCTCTGCGTACTAGCGTACTTCAAAAGCGAAGAAGAAGGTAGGAACCATGATAAAGGATGCAAGGTGGACAGGAGAGCATCCCGTGGCAACCCGCAGGGAAGGATCACCTGGTTGATTAGGCGATTTGCCTAATCCAAGATCAGCTGCTTCGTGTTTAACAACATGGCCTTAACATGAGTTGTAGTTCCCGCGCCCTCGGAGTATAAACCGCAAGAGCTTGGGCAACTGATTCATCCACCGTAACAAGAGATAGTGTAGTATTCGAGAAGCTGCTTCTTGGCGATGTCGTCTGTGGCTCGTCTTTGGGTTCTTTGCAGGGACGCTTTTTTGCCGGAAGTTTGAGGAGCACTTAACAACCGGATCCCTGGAAAAAGCAGAACTTAAGAACACATTCCAAAATGGCTTCCAAGGTCCCATGAGTAGTATGGGGTACCAGGTACCAGATTCTTCTAAGAGGGTTCTAACCTTCTTTCGAGCTCCTTCCAAAACCTAGAACCCGAAAGCTAGTTTAGGGTTTAGGGATTTGGGTTATAGGGTTTAGGGTTATCCTAAACAACCCTCAAACTCAAGGCTCAAGATCGAAAATCAAGGGCCCTGCGGCTGCCAAGAGCGCCGCTGGCAGCAGCAAGACGGCGAAGCTTCGAGCATGCGACATGATGTTTGCGAGTGGCTTTACGTATGTAGGCAGAGCCGTTTTTTGGGGGGCAGTCCCCGATTCTTCGGATCCTCCTGTGAGAGGCCTGAACCCGCAAAGCCAAGACTCTTATTGGGAGCTTCCTGCCGGGGCTGCTTGTCGGGTACTTCTGCTTGGGAAAGAAACTGATCGGTAGGAACGAGGCCTGCCACTGGACTCGGCATTCTTGAACCTGAAAGCTGCAGCCAATCAAGTTTCTTGTGTGTCGTAATTCTGTGCCTTTGCAGCTGGTCTACTCAGGCCCATAGGGCCTAGAATTCCACTTGCCGCTTGCCTTCAAACGCAAGCACTGACAGCCCAGTATGGGAGCCAGGAGGCACAACAAATGGTCCTACAGCTGCACTACCTATAGCCTCCATTGTAATTCCTTTTCGGGTATAGGATCCTAACTATAAAACTGGTATAAGCCAAAAAAGAACTACAGTGGGCACCACAGCTGCTCTAACAGGACTTCAAGCAGCATTGCTAGACGCTCGGCCAGAAGCAGTTTGTCCTACTTGCACGAAGGACTTTACCTTGCTTGCAGGTTCATGGGCCGTTATAAGTGGGTTATATAATTCCCACCAACATTAGCTATAAGTCTAGTTCTCCTACTTATACGCCCTACTTATACATACCCATGAACCTCCAAGTAGAAGGCTTCAACCCTCGTTGCCCCGGGCTTGCATGGCGAGTTGGGCACAGGAGGCCCAAGCCTTGATATGCAGACACTTCCCCTTCCGCATGGTCGGGCTCGGCAAGATGGTTTTTTTTTTAAAGTGTAGTGACCTTTTCTGTGCGATCCGGCCCGCCCCCATAGAGGCAAGATGGGGTTTAGGGTTTAGGGACAAGGGCAAGACAAGGACTCACGACTTCCGACTTCTGGAGCCTGGAGGGTTTAGGCGGAAGGGGAGGTGAATCCTGGAAGACACGAAGATATGGCCTGTATCTTGCGCACGAGACCTCAAACTGTAGCGGGTGGATGCTGCCAACGAATTGCAGCATCCCATGCACTTGGGGTTGGGTCCCGAGTGTGATCTTGAGCATCGCAGCATTTTGTCCGCGTTTCAGCAAAGCCTTGTGAGGCTTAACTGGGCAGTCGACTGCCGCATGGAGGAAAGTGAAAAAGCAAAATTGGTGCTTGCAGAAGATGGGAAGATGCCTTCAGCTCGGCACCCAATGCCTCCCTAAAACATCATCTCCTAAACCCTTCAAGGCTTTAAACAAAGTCCTAAAACCGTTTAATAATGCCTTAGACATGGCGTCGCAGGGACGGGGTATTGTTCCGCAAGTTCCGGAGCACTGCGGGCCTGAGGCTCTTGAGCTCAATTTATCGCTTGCATCGCATTTTGTGAGCAAGCGATACCCGACATGGCAAGAACGGCTAGGAAAGGATTGTCACATGGGGTTTGTTCATCTAAATCGAGGTCCAGTTGTCTTTATCATGGTGAAGTGTGGAACACGCCCCACGTGATCCTGTGTACCGTCCGGTTCCTTGGGGCGCAGACGGCCACAGGCCTTGCTACTGGCTCCTTCTACGGAAATGTTGAAAGAATCAGTCTTGCAGCGATTGGTAGTGCTAGCTTGCGAGATGTTGGACCGGCAGATAGGTGAGATCTTTGAGAATCTTGCATCAGTGTACTGCTGCTTCGACGACGGACTATGCCCACTTTGAGTCGATATTGTGCACAGGCTCAAAGATGCTGTGCAGGGCGACGAGGCCCGCCCTAGGCGCAAAAGGCGCTGTCACCCGCCTTCCGGAGAATATCCACCACGGACTTGAATGCGAACCACCTGTCATACAGACAAGAACGGGCAAACGACAAAAATAACACAATCCGTCGCTGTCCTCTCTGCGAAGCCATACAAGCAAACGATAGGGTAAGTTAAAGCTAACTGATACTTCTCGAAAACAGGTACCTAGTAATCCTTCACCCTACAAACCATGGAATCCTAAACCCTACCCCTAAAGCCCTAACCTAAAGCACTTATAACCCTAAGCCCAGAGCCCTGATTCGTGCGAACGGGATCGAGAGGCTCCGGGATGTCCTCGCCGGCGCGGAGGCGTCGCCGGAACTCGGTGCCGGAGAGCTTCACCACTTTGTAGCCTTGGGTTTGTTTCCACAGGCTTAGGGCTTAGGGTCTCAGGGAGTTTTGGGTGTTGAGGAGCCTGGGTATAGTGTTTAGAGTTTGAAGATTTTCGGATGTAGATTTCAAGGATTTCGGTGTTCAAGAAATTAAGGTATTTCAGTGTTTAGGATTGTTTGGGGATGTGGTGGGGTTTGAGGTCCAGGGCGCAGCATAGTAGGTATTCAGGCTTCTATGCTGTTGAGCTCTACGGCTTTGAGGATCTCTGGCAAGGCTGCCTTGTTCAAGTTCATTAACCTCTTCAGACATCGTTAGTTAAACTAAGCCCTAAACCCTAAACCCTAATCCCGAAACCCTCGGTAAGCCCTGGTAAGCCCTTGTGAGCAGAGCCTGGGTCCGCAAAGGCTGCATTGAATTGCCCACGCGTGTCTGCATGGAAATGTAGTGATACTGGCGACAAAGCAGAACAAACACCGAAAACAACTCAGGTGCTTTAAACCACTGCGATCTTGGATACAGATAATGTAGGGGCCTCAACAGTTAGAATAGTATTTGGGGCGCCTTAGTATAGTTATAGTATAAGATACCCCAAAACCCTATTCCCCGTTATAAAGGCCCCTATATTATACCTCACCATCATCAAACTAATCGCCGTGCCCTCGCTCCTAAGCCAGGCTCCGGCCTCTGGGGAGTCTGTTGGGCTTGTACAAATCCCCAAGGGTCCTGAAACCGGTTTCCATATTAGTAGTCAGTATTCTGATTTGGGAAAGCACCCCGAACAATAGTACTTAGGAGCGTTTGGGTATAGGCATAGGTGCTAAGGAATAGAACCAAGGTGCCCTTGCTCTTGGCCACGCTCTCCTGGACGTAGCCTTCCTCTGGACCGACATAGACCTTGACTGCGTAACCCCATAATTCAGGGCCTGCTGCAGTTGAAAGGGGTAGTTCTCTATAAGGCCCCTTTGGGGATCCCTTTTATAAGGGTGTCATAGGCTTTAGGGGACCTAAAGAGGGACCCTAATCTAGAGAACTGTCTGGGGCATAGTACGCTCTAGCATCAAATTGGGATCCCTTTATCTTTCGCCCCCCACATAAAACCGTAAATCATTTGGCTTTGGGCTTTGGGGACACGGACAGCCGGGTTCGTGGTTGAGGCTGGGGGTTCATCTGGCATGGGTTTTCCCGCGAATCATGTACGGCCGACTACACCACTGATTCGCACACAATCCTTCAAAAATACAAACCTGGGACCTGAACTCTCAAGTCAGGAACAAAACCTCAATCCTCTGCCGGCTTCCTACTACCCTAAACTCTGGTTGACTTACGCGAGCTGTATGTAGCAAGGCCCCTGTCCACCCCGAACCCGAATCTGAAAAGCATGCTCTTCAATCTTGCAGATGACGACCCCGTGTTTAAAAGCGAAAGAGTGCTGATGCTGATCACCCCTTCGGAACTTCGATTGAAACTCGATAGATCTAGGTTTTGTAATTGTAGACTTCAGCATAATGGCCAGAGTTTTTGAAAGGATCTGAAGATGAATGAAGTCCATGGAGGGGCCATGTTCTCGTAGTGGGTCACCGTCACACCGAGCTCCGCAGAGTACTTCTTGCCGGTCTCTTGGGCGTCGTAGGCTCCATAGAAATCCTCGCCGTCAATGGTGCTCCTTGGAACAAAATGCAGCATCCTTGGCCCGATCCCACCCGACGAAACGCCCTAATTGAGGAATATAGCTGAGATCAGCGATGGCTGCATAACTAAAACGATATTGGGAATTCTAGCAAGCCCCTAAGACGCCGCCATCATCCCCTAATTATAGTCTAAACCCGAAAACCCGAAATCCTAAACCCGGTACCTTAACTGAGCTAAAGACCTTCCTGAGCTTTAAACGCTCGGTCGGAGGAAAAATCGGGAGAGGCTCTTCGTACCAGCCATGTCCCGCCCGATGATGAAGTGGGTGGCACCATAGTTTTTCCGGATGATCATGTGCTGGATGGCCTTTCCCAAAGAATGCACTATTGCTTAATGAGGCGTCGCGACTTAATGATCCCTATCGCAACTTATCGGAGCAATTTTGAGGTCGCTGGATGTTAACTTAGCCCTTCCCGCATTTATTGCACAGCCCCCTGAATGACAAAACCACTCTGGGGCCAATCCTACCGAAATCATCCCCGCGCCTTAAAATCTAATTTACATTAAGGCGGTTTCAAGGGTAGCAGCAGGAGGAGGAGCAAGAGCAGGAGCAAAAAAGAGCCAGAGGAGGAGCCGGAGGAGCAGCAAGAGCAAGAGCAGGAGCGGCAGCAAGAGCAGGAGCAAGATCGCTCAAAAGTGATATATAGGGGGGATTCATATTAGGGGGAAATGGATTGCCTCCTATCTCATGAGTCTAATCCAAGCAGCGAGCCCCCAACCCGTATGTCTTCGACAAAGAGGAGGGTCTGCAAATCGCATGTAGTTAACCTGAAAAGCTATTTAGAGAACCAAAGTGGCCGAGCTAGGCATATACGCCTGACCACAAACAGGCGGTTTTGACCCCACTCACAGAACCCCCCCCCCCCCACCGCCTTTCGTGCAATTGCATGTGATTAAGCTAGCCCAGCGACGCCTAAATCCAAACCCTAACCATTGCCTCCTAACATCCTCAAATTGCCTGAAAGTCCACAGAAACGAAGCCTAAACCCTAAACCTTAAACCCTAAGCCTTAAACCCTAAACCATAAACCCTAAACCCTAAGCCCTCAGCCCCAAACCCTAAACCCTAAACCCAAGAACGGCCTCATTATCTCGCGTCCTCAAGTCTAGGGCTTAGTACTTACGGGCCGGCGGCCTGCGGGTCGAGGAATGTTGAGGCATAAGATAGGGGCCTCAATCATTGCCTATATTATTAGTATGGGGTTTAGGGTTTAGGGTTCCTTGTTATAATTATAGGAAAATAATATACCCCAAAACCCTATTCTAATGATTGAGGCTCATTTTTTCGCTCATTTGGGGCGTAGAGTCCGAGTCGGACGCAGCCCATGGGCTTGCATCTAATTAAATACTGGAGGGGGAAACCAGAGAAGGTCAGTATGCTCTAACCGCACGGTACACCTCACGCTCGGCTGAGCAGAAATCTGACTCGACCCCCAGGTGCAAATGCTGTTGCGCGTCATCCGGCGCCGTAGCAAAAGCCGTATCGCAAACAGCACATCACACACACACAAAACCAAGAAGGAG